TGAGAATACAGCAGCTAGAATGACACCTGAGGGAGGAGGTGGAGCCAGCCAGGCTTGAGTCCTGTCCTTCGCTCAGCTTACCAAGTCCTGGGTCATTTATGATGTAAAACAAGTTATGTGAACAAAATATTCCTGCACTGATTGCTTCATTTCATGATAACCAAAATAAATCGCATTTTCCCCAATTTTCTTAATTTTTTAAAATATCTTTTTATTGATTTCAGACAGGGAGAGGGAGAGAAAGATAGAAACATCAATGATGAGCTGCTTCCTCCACACCCCCCCACTGGGAATCGGGCCTGCAACCCAGGCATGTACTCTGACCAGGAATTGAACCAGTGACCTTTTGGTTCATGGGTTGTTGCTCACTGAGCCACACCACTGGGCTACAGTTCATTCCTCTTTACTGCTGAGCAGTTTTCTATTGTATGGATATACCATCATCTGTTTATCCAGTCACCTGTTGATGGACATTTGGGTTGTTCTCAGGTTTTGGTGATTACAAATAAAGCTGCTATGCAGAGAACCAAGATGGCGGCATAGGTTAACGCCGGAGTTTGCTGCCTTGAACAACTACTTCAAAAGTGAAACTAAAAGACGGAACGGACATCACCCAGAACCACAGGAACGCTGGCTGAGTGGAAGTCCTACAACTAGGAGGAAAGAGAAACGCATACGGACACTCAGAGGAGGCGCAGTGCTGAAGTCAAATTCTGAGGTGCGGAGTGCGCGGAGCGGGCTGGCGGCGGGAGGAAGTCGCAGACTCTGAGCTCCAGATACGGGCGAGTCTTTAGGGACCCAGACTCAAACGGGAGAAGCGGGACTGTCTGGCCTCAGTCAGAGCGAGTGCAGCTTTCTCTCCGAGGTTTGCAGCGGGTGCTGGGACTCAGAGAGGCAGAGCCCCTGGGGACAGGACTGAGAGCTGCCATAACTGCTCTCTCTGGCCCACCCTGTTGATCCTGTGTGACCCGCCCCCCCCAAGCCCTGCACACAGGCATTTGCCGGATAGCCTCAGGCAAAGGCTAGATTAGCACCTCCCTAGAGGACGGAAGTTCTCTCACTGCAGACACAGCTGATTCTCATAGCCACTTGGCCTGGAGGTCAAACCCTCCCTGGTATTAGCTACAACAATCAAGGCTTAACTACAAGACTGCGCACAAAGACCACTAGGGGGTGCACCAAGGAAGCATAACAAAATGCGGAGACAAAGAAACAGGACAAAATTGTCAATGGAAGATATAGAGTTCAGAACCACACTTTTAAGGTCTCTCAAGAACTGTTTAGAAGCTGCCGATAAACTTAATGAGATCTATAAGAAAACTAATGAGACCCTCGATGTTATGTTGGGGAACCAACTAGAAATTAAGCATACACGGACTGAAATAACAAATATTATACAGACTCCCGACAGCAGACCAGAGGAGTGCAAGAATCAAGTCAATGATATGAAATGCGAGGAAGCAAAAAACACCCAACCGGAGGGGCGGAATGAAAAAAGAATCCAAAAATGCGAGAATAGTGTAAGGAGCCTCTGGGACAGCTTCAAGCGTACCAACATCAGAATTATAGGGGTGCCAGAAGATGAGAGAGAGCAAGATATTGAAAACCTATTTGAAGAAATAATGACAGAAAACTTCCCCCACCTGGTGAAAGAAATGGACTTACAGGTCCAAGAAGCACGAAGAACCCCAAACAAAAGGAATCCAAAGAGGACCACACCAAGACACATCATCATTAAAATGCCAAGAGCAAAAGATAAAGAGAGAATCTTAAAAACAGCAAGAGAAAGAAACTCAGTTACCTACAAGGGAATACCCATACGACTGTCAGCTGATTTCTCAACAGAAACTTTGCAGGCCAGAAGGGAGTGGCAAGAAATATTCAAAGTGATGAATACCAAGAACCTACAACCAAGATTACTTTATCCAGCAAAGCTATCATTCAGAACTGAAGGTCAGATAAAGAGCTTCACAGATAAGGAAAAGCTAAAGGAGTTCATCACCACCAAACCAGGATTATATGAAATGCTGAAAGGTATCCTTTAAGAAGAAGAGGAAGAAAAAGGTAAAGATACAAATTATGAACAACAAATATGCATCTATCAACAAGTGAATCTAAGAATCAAGTGAATAAATAATCTGATGAACAGAATGAACTGGTGATTATAATAGAATCAGGGACATAGAAAGGGAATGGACTGACTATTCCTCGGGGGGGAAAGGGGTGTGGGAGATGTGGGAAGAGACTGGACAAAAATCGTGCACCTATGGATGAGGACAGTGGGTGGGGAGTGAGGGCGGAGGGTAGGGCGGGAACTGGGAGGAGGGGAGTTATGGGGGGGAAAAAAGAGGAACAAATGTAATAATCTGAACAATAAAGATTTAATTAAAAAAAATAAAGCTCTGTTATTAAGTACTTTAAAAAAAATAAAAATAAATAAAGCTGCTATGAACATTTGGCCCCAAGTCTTGTGGACATGTGCTTTAATTTCTCTTAATCAATGCGTAGAAGTAGTAATATGGTAAATGTATGTTTAACCTCCTTAGAAATTGCTAAACTGTTTTCTTAAGATATTATAGCATTTTATATTCTCACTAGCCATGTTATTTCCAACTGTTTGCCCAAAGTTGGTACTATCTTTTTAATTTTAGCCTTTTTAGTGTGTGCGTAGTGATATTTCAGTGTGATTTTTATCACCTCAATTCATGAAGGATATTTTCACTGGATAAAGAATTCTGGGTTGTCCAGGTTTATTTTTTTTTCTTTCAGCACTTCAAGATGTTGTTCATCTATCTCTTTGCTTCCATCTTTCTGATGAGCTGTCCACAGTCATTTCAATCGTTGCTTCTTTATATGTGCTCCCCTCTTTTCCTTTGAGCACTTTCCGTTTTCTTCTCAACCTTTGTGTTTTGGCAGTGTGACTATGATGTATCTAAGAAAGGTCTTATTATCTTTCTTGGGCTTCACTGAGTAAATTGTCCCTGTCCTTCACCAATTTTGGAAATGTTCGGCCACTATTTCTCCATAATATATTAACCAATGTAGGGAAAAAAAGAAGTTCTACCTACAGCTTTCACATACCCTTTGCAACAGAAACTAATCTGCTGATGTCTGACAGTGAGGGCCATCTTTCCACAAAAATACAGAAAAACTCTTTTTGAGTCGATTAGTCAACGATAGCACAGAGACACACTAACTCATCCTTCATCCATTCACAGGTACTGTTTTAGGTGCTGAGGACAGAATAATGAACAAAACAATAATAGTTAATTCTTAGAGAATGTAAGGAACACTTAAAAATATATATATTATCTTATTTAATTCTCATTATAACTCTATAAATAAGTCATATCCCCATTTTACAGATGAGGAAGCTGAGACTTAAAGAGGTTAACTAATATGTTTAAGGTTACATAGCTAGTAAATACCAGAGATAGATTTTGAACTTAGCTAGTCGAGCTCTGGCATGTGCACTTTCAATCTGTACTACTTTACTTGCCAAAGGCAAGAAATGGAGGCCAGAGGATGGGCAGCCTTTATCTTTAACCATGTGAGTACTAGGTAAATCACTCATTCTGACACTTTTCCTTGTCTGTAAAATTAGTGGGATTCACTATCAGTGGTTCTCAACCTTCCTAATGCCGCGACCCTTTAATACAGTTCCTCATGTTGTGGTGACCCCCAACCATAAAATTATTTTCGTTGCTACCTCATAACTGTAATTTTGCTACTGTTATGAATTGTAATGTAAATATATGATATGCTATATGTGTTTTCCAATGGTCACGACCCACAGGTTGAGAACCGCTGCACTAGATGAAAACTAAACTCTCTTCCAGCCTGGAGAGTTTATTATTGTAGACCTTGAGAGCAAAGGCAGGTACAGGTTAACTAAAATTAATGAAATCAAATATGGATACAATATCTCTAATAATAAAAGCATAATATTATTCCGGAAGACCTTCCAGACGAAGCCAGGGCTGTGAAGGAAGCCTGGTCCCAGTGCCAGAGGGTAGCCGGTGCCGGCACCGGGGGAAGGAAGGCCTACTCTTGCACGAATTTCGTGCATTGGGCCTCTAGTAGTATTATATAAAAAAGGACAGTAGTTGCTATTCCAGAGTGGATCCACATATATATACAAATTCATGGAGAGATCATCAATAGTTTTTATGCATATGATGGCTTTCAGATTTTTTTTTTTTTCATTTTGAATGAGTGTGTTAAAAAAAAGAAAAAGAAAGTGACCTAATAGCTTCCCATAGTGCTTCCCCACTTACTGAAACCTGGTTTTCCCTTTTCATTGATGAGTATATGACATGCTGTTTCCATAACAATCATATAAAAGAGTTGTGTGTTTAAAAAAAATAAGTCTGCAAAGTTCTTTTTGTAGCAAAAGCAGCTTGCCAGTAGACATACCGGAAGCAGATGGTACTAGAAAAACAGAAGAGATGACATAGCAACAATTCAAAAGATACCAAACTAAAACATTTTTTAAGGATGGACATTCAATCTTAAAAAGTACAAGGATGTGACAGGACTTTAGAATTAGGAGGGACTGTTAATGCTGCCTTTGATTTTTAAAAATCCTAGTTTAAAAATAACTTTTTAAAACATATCTAACTTCAAAATATTTAAAACACAGTATCTTTAAGATTTAAAAATGGAGCTGATAAGGAAATTAATAAGTAAACCTAAAATGCAGGGATGTTAACCCAGAGATCAAAGCAAGGTCGTTGTCGGCCCGGCTGGGTAGATCAGTTGGTTGATAAACTAAGATTGCAGGTCGATCCCAGTCAGGGCACAAAGAAGAATCAATCGATGAATGCATAAATAAGTAGAACAACAAATCAATGTTTCTCTCTCTCCCTCCTCTCTGTCTCTAAAGTCAATAAATAAAAAATAAAATAAAGCAAGGTCATTATGGTATTTTCTTAGTAAAGAAACTTCATTCTATGACAAGATTCTAGTTCATGAGGACTCTCAAATAACAAAAAACAAAATAGCAAACAATTAAGATTTATTGAAGGATATTCAGATGCTGGGCACTGTGTTAAGTACTTTACATTGATTGTTTTATCCTCACCACAACCCTAGGGAGTAGGTATTATTTATTATTATTGCACTTTATAGATATGAGAACCGAGGCTTAGAGAGGTTAAATCACTTGCCAAAAATCCCATCGCTAGCTGTGGTAGAGCCAACGGGGATTTGAGTGAAGGCTTTCTGACTGCCTCACTCTGAAAGCACTACTAATATACTATATACATAACAGATAAAAACAAACAAAAAAGAAAAAAAGAAAAACTCCCTGCCAATTATTGTTCTAACTTGGTGCAAAAACATATGCTCAGCACTTTTCTTATCTAATTTTCATAGTAGTCTTATGGGATAGGAATTGTCATCTTCTTTTTATGGATGAGGAGGCTGAAGCTTAAAGAGGCCAAATAACTTGCCCAGAGCCATTCAGCCAGTAAGTGATGGATTCAAGACGTGGATCCAGGTCTGCCTATCTCTGAAGCCCCAATAGTTTTCACAGGCCCCTGGGAGGGTGGAGGGAGTGGGAATCACAGTGAACACCCTAGACAGATATGTCTTGCTCTCTGTACCTGTCCAAGAAGGAGCAAGATCCCTCTCCCACCTTTTTTTCAAGGGCAATCACCCAAAACACTCATTCTCCAAGGTTTCTACTCCCAGTTTCCACCCAAACAAGGTGAAACCCTCTCTATTCTGAGCAGGTTTTTCTTCTAATGTCTTAGTTCCACCCCCCGCCCCAGCCTGGGTCCCTCCTGAGTGCTCAGAAGCACCCTGGGCTTACCTGGTTCCAGCACTCACACACCCCTGGAATCATCTGTTTGCTGCTAGTGTTCCCCCTCCCACCTCTCCAGGGCTCTGCCGCACACACCATCCAACAGTGATTGTTTTTTGTCTCCTCGATGTCTAGCTAAGTACCCGGCACACAGTAGCTGCTCAGTGAATGTTGATGGATGAATAAAGACTGACTTCTGAAGTCCTGTACAATTACCAACTGAATACCATAATATGAAAGTCCCTGCCACTTACAGTACACACACACACTGTCACATGTATTTGTGAATCTATAGTTTTATACTTAAGTGAAATGGACCAAAGAGTACTCATTACTAGAATGAATAATGATAATTGATAGAATAAATTTCTCTATAGTTTGAGCAGAGTTTTCTTTTTTCAGCTTTTTAAAAAAGAGCTAATGATTGTTTTCTAATTATAATAAGCACTAACATTTGTAAAACTGGTCTGCATGTTCAGGTACATTTTCTCATTTCATCCTAATGGTCAGTTCTGTGAAATAGGTACTATTAGTTTTTTTTTTACAGTAGAATACCAAGTTCAAGGGTGATTTATTCCAGATCACATAGCTAATAAATAAGATTGCTGGGAACAGACTCTAGCTCTTTAGTCCAGTGTTCTTTCAACTATGTCACTTATGAAGACAGAAATACTGAACTGAATGCTGTCTATAAAATGTGTATTCGTCAAAAATAGTGAGGGAAGGCTATCCTTTCTTCTCCTTTTTTTTTTTTTTTTTTTTAAATCCTTTCCTTCATACCAAATGAAAGGGCATCTATCCTGATAGGCACTGGCTTTGGAATCATGAGAAGAGTAATAGAAATAACTTTAGTTTCCTGGCATATTCTTTAGACTTCTCTAAACCCCTAAAAGGAAATTAACACTTCACTATATAACCCCCTCTACAATTTTTTACTATGTACATATATAACTTATTTCAAAATTTTTAGAAATAGAAAGATACGAATGAGTTTATTTTCTCCACTCTCAATGTCACAAGGCAAACCAATTGAGAGCAGATGTTGTCGAAAAAGCTTTAGAAACACAATTTTAACTAGATAACTGAGTGCCCCCATATGATTTCATGTCATGCATGACATTAGAATTGTGAGGTAGGTACTGAGGTTGAATCACAAGCAGCCCTGTTACAGATGCACTGAGAAACCAAGAACTACTGGCTATCACAGCTCTGTAAGCATTAGAACCGAATGCCTGATTTCCTGATTTCAATGCTATTACTTAGACCTGCTAGAAAAAGTTAGGACTAGCTCTCTGGTCAGATTCCTGGGTTCCAAAGCTGCTATACTGGGTCCTAATGTACTCACAATAAAGATCTCCAAGAAGTATTAAGTCAAAAAAGCAAGGTCATATATTGTATTTTACCATTTTGTGCAAAAAAAGGGAAAACTTTGAAAAATAATATGTCTGCATTTGCTTATGATGCATAAGCTATCATTTGCCTTACATGTCCCTCCATCTGCAAAATGAGGGTAGTGGGGTTACATTAAATACTGCAAATGTTAGAATAGTGCTCGGCACACTCAGTGAAGTACCATTTTACTTGGATTCTCAAGCCAAATATTCCTTGGCTTAATCATATTCTAAAATATCCTTTAAAAATATTTTTTTATTGATTTTAGAGAGGAAGGGAGAAGGAGAGATAGAAACATCAATTAAAGAGAATCATTGATCGGTTGTCTCCCACACGGCCCACACTAGGGGAAGGATCCCGAAACCCAGGCATGTGCCCTGACCAGGAATCAAACCCTGACACCCTGGTTCATAGGTCGACCACTGAGTTATGCGGGCTGGGCTTAAAACATAATTTTTAATTGGCACAGGCAAGATGAAAACGTGGCAAACCACAGCAAAATGTAATTACTTAAAGCTGCTTTAAATTAGGTCCAATAGAGTAATTAGCCAATACTGAAAATGTTTGGTGAATCAAAATTACAGATATCAAAGAACTAGTAGTGTTTACCCGTTTACTAAGCAAATTAATAACTAAAATCCTTTTTTTAAAAAAAAATTAGGGTCTTGCATATGGTCTCTACAGTGTATTTTAACAGTCTGCTACTCTAAATAGTATGAGCAGCTTTAAGAAAAATCTTCAGGAAAGTTCGACCTTAGGTTTTTGACCCAAAAGCACATTGACAAGTCTCAACAATGTTACTGTTACCGTTTTAACATTTAAAAGGCATACTGTGTCTGCTCTAAAGTCGTGGGGGGAAATGATTATGGATTAGGATTATGTTCAAAACATAGGGTCAGGGGAAAAGAGCTTTTTTTTTTTTTTTTTTTAAAGTATATTTGCTTCAGTCTTTTAGAGGCCAAGCCACCCTGACGAAAACCGACCCCCACCCGGAGCCACGTGGGTTCTCCGCCTCCGCCCCGGCGCTTCCTTCCGCACTCGGAGCGCCGAAGCAGTGACCTCAAGGGGGGCGTGTCCGGGGGCGGATCGGGGTGACCGGGCGGGTTCCTGGCCGATCCGAGCCAGCGCCCGAGCTGCCCGGTCCATGTCGCAGGTCCTGGCCCGCCCACGCGTGTCCGAGCGCCCGGGAAGCGTGGACCGCGCGGTCGGGGGAGCGGGAGCGAGGGAAGGGCCGCCCCCGCCCGCCTCGCCTTCCTCGGGACCCCCGTTCCCGTCCCGCGGCGGCCCCGATGGGTCGGGAGGGTGGGCACCGCCCCGACCCGCGGCTTGGCCGGTGGCTAACCTTAACGCACCATATGGCTCGAGATCCCCGCTCCCGCCCCCTGGCCCGAGTCTGGCCGGTATCGCGACACGAATAAGGGCGCCCACTCAGAGGTGCCCAGTAGGTGACTAGGAAAATGCAGGGAGAAAAAAAGAATTTGCGAGATAAGCTAGGAAAAAAATATATAGAAAAGATTTTTGTTGCTAGAAAAAGATGTATTCTAGGGAAACTCTTACATGGCCTGGCTTCTTTCATGAAAACGATCTCGAAGTTAAACTGAGGCTAGAAAAACCTCTTAAGAAAGAGAAAAACCTGGTTTTAGTAGTTCATATCTACAAGGACTGGTAAAACAAGAAAACATAGGAAGGCTACTCCGAAAGGCTTCTTTCATTAAAAGGGGGACGGGGGAGGCATCTGAGTGTGAGAAGTAACTGAAAGCCGACTAGAACTATATCCTACAACAGAATAGAAAGCCAGCACACGTCTGCTCTTCACTGCTCCCCAATGGTTTTATGCATCAGCTTTGCTCCTCCCGTTTGATTGAGGTTCCTCTCCAGAAAAAGTGTTTCTATTGCACGTGCCACAGAGCTTTGCCCAGCACTGGACACGGCAGGTTCTCAACTATTTGCTAATGGGTTGGCTGGAGATGTGGCATCAGAATGATGTCGTGATCAGCTAATTTTAAAAAGGTGCTTTCTCCAGGGGAGTATTTCTGAGTCTGCCCCGATTGGCCGCCAAAAGGGCCTCATCGTTTCCCAGGCGACTGTCGAGAGGCAGTGATTTCACACGGTGGGGGTGGGTGACCTTGCCGATGCGTCTCCACATGAGGTCATGTGGAAAGGCTGAATTTGAAAATTCCTTTTAGATTGCTCATGCGTGCAACCCGAGTGTACGACTAACTGGGGGGAAATGCACCACGAGGGTGACACGCCATCAGGGTCCCTTTAGTTAGTGTAATAAAACCAGCGGAAGAAGGAAGGCAAACTGTAAGACTAGAGTCTATTCTACACTGAAACACTGGACTGTGGGGCGAACGGGTGAGCCGGGCTTTGACTGGAACAAGGCAAGTGGCCACCCCGGTAGCATGTCGGTGAGGCTGGTGGCCACCCCGGTGGCATGTCCGTGGGGCTGGTGGCCACCCCGGTAGCATGTCGGCGGGGCTGGTGGCCACCCCGGTGGCATGTCCGTGGGGCTGGTGGCCACCCCGGTAGCATGTCGGTGGGGCAAGTGGCCACCCCGGTAGCATGTCGGCGGGGCTGGTGGCCACCCCGGTAGCATGTCGGTGGGGCTGGTGGCCACCCCGGTAGCATGTCCGTGGGGCTGGTGGCCACCCCGGTAGCATGTCCGTGGGGCTGGTGGCCACCCCGGTAGCATGTCCGTGGGGCTGGTGGCCACCCCGGTAGCATGTCCGCGGCGCTGGTGGCCACCCCGGTAGCATGTCGGAGGGGCTGGCGGCCACGGAGGCGCCTGCTCACCATCCCCTAACGCGATGCGCGGGGCTCTTCAGCTGGGAGGGACGTCGAGGGCAAAGGCGGGGGAGGAGCCAGCCGGAGGGGCTGTGCGACCCGCAGAGGAAGCGGTTCCAGGGCCGGTCCCAGCCCAGACCTACGAGAGGACAAAGGTGAGCACGGAAGGTGCCTTGCGGGGTGCAGGGAGACCCCAATCTCGAGGTCACATCGTTGCAGCTCCGCCGGGAATGGCGGAGGGAAGGTCCCGAGCATCCCCGCCCACCGCCTCCGAGCCGCCACATCCCCAAGCCGCGGCCGGGAGCCATTCCTACAAAAGGGGGCCGCGCCGGGGCCGCGGGAGGTCCCAGGGACCGTCGGCAAACTCCCACGAACCTAGAATCCGGGCGGCGCGCGTCCCCGCCCCGCGCCCCTCGCGCGCGTCGTCACCGGCGTCGGCAGGAGCATGCGCGAGGCGACGTGTGCTCTTCGGCGGGGCGAGCGCACCTCGCCCACGGCCCCCGGACGGCGGGGGGAGGGCCGGCGCGGGCGCGGGGCGCGCTGGGAAAGGCTGTCGTGCGCTGGCTCCGCCCCGTTCCCCGAGGGTGGGGGCAGCGCCGTATATAAGTGCCGTAGTCCTGCCGGACGTTCTTTTTCGCAACGGGTTTGCCGCCAGAACACAGGTGAGTACCGGGCGTGGCCTCCGCGGGCCGGGCCTCCGGGAGCGGGCCGCGGCCTCGCGGGCCTGTCCCCCCGCCGCGCCCCGGCGTCCCTGTGCGCGGTTCCGGGCCCCGAATTTCGGGCCGGGAGCGGGTGGGGGGTTCGAGGCCTGCGCTTTTTCCGGGAGCGCCCCGCGGCCTCGTGCTGGGCTTGCGGCCTGGTTGGCGCGCCGTACCCGCCGCGTGCGAGCTCCGCTCGGCCTCCCGGCCTGGCCCGGCACCCTAAAGCCTCCGGCCCTTTTCGGTTTCCAGGGCGGGCACCTCCCGTGCTTCCCGTCGGGGTGGTTTAGCCGCGGTTGGTCGGGATCTCGGCAGGGTTATTTTTGAGTGTGGGGGCGCCCGTCGTGTTCGCGGGGGACGGCGGCGGGGCCCGCCCGGCGCACATGGCCGGCAGGCAGCGGCCGCCTCGGGGGGAACGAGGCGCCCGTGGCGAGCGCCTGGGACCCACCCCGCCCGCCCGCACCAGTTGCGTGCGCGGAAAGATGGCCGCTCCCGGCGCCGGGCAGGGACTCAAAATGGAGGACGCGGCCCGGGCGGGCGGGTGGGTCCCCGCACAAAGGAAAGGGCCTTTCCCCCGCGGCTGCCGCTTCTCGGGGCCGCACCGTGAGCCGGCCCGGCCTGGCGCCGCCTCCATTTCTACTCGTGGCCCGCGGAGCGGGGCCGGCCGGCGGGGGAGGGGCCAGGCGCCGCGGAGGTGCCCCGCTCGGTGGGTGGAGGCCGGAGCGGGGCCAGCTTGGCGTTGGTTCCGATTCTCCTTGGAATTTGCCCTTTGAGTTTGGATCCTGGCTTATTCGGAAATCGGAAGCCTGTGGGGCAGGGGTTTAAAAGTTTTTTGTTTTTTTTTCCTTGAATGTAGGTGTTGTGAAAACCACCGCTAACTCAAACCCAAGATGGGAAAGGAAAAGACTCACATCAACATCGTCGTCATCGGACACGTAGATTCCGGCAAGTCCACCACTACCGGCCACCTGATCTACAAATGTGGGGGCATCGACAAGAGAACCATCGAGAAATTCGAGAAGGAGGCTGCCGAGGTGGGTACATTAACTTGGGCGATTACAACAAGTGCCCGCGAGTACAGTAAGTGGTACTTTTCCAAAAAACAGTCTCCCGTCCACACCCGCATGGCACACGAGTTTAGGGATGGGCCAACATGCGTGGAATCGCTTTGCTCTGTCCATGTTCCCAGACTACGGTAAAGCGACCTGGGGTTAGCAGTTGTAAGCTGGAACCGAGCGTTTATGCCAACTAGGAACTTCAGGTTGGGGTTTGAGCGTCTTAGTTCCCGAGTAACCATTCTTAATCCTCACAGATGGGGAAGGGCTCCTTCAAGTATGCCTGGGTCTTGGATAAACTGAAGGCCGAACGGGAGCGCGGTATCACCATTGACATCTCCCTGTGGAAATTCGAGACCAGCAAGTATTACGTGACCATCATTGATGCCCCAGGGCACAGAGACTTCATCAAAAACATGATTACAGGCACATCTCAGGTTTGTAGTTAACCATTTTTTAGAAAGTTAGCTCTCTGGGTCTGTTACTTTGGGTTCATCCTTTTTGAAGAGCTTCCATTTACTAAAAGGATATGGCCTTGTTTTCTTTTAAAGGCTGACTGTGCTGTCCTGATTGTTGCTGCTGGTGTTGGTGAATTTGAAGCAGGCATCTCCAAGAACGGGCAGACCCGTGAGCACGCCCTTCTGGCCTACACACTGGGTGTGAAACAGCTGATTGTTGGTGTTAACAAAATGGATTCCACTGAGCCACCCTACAGCCAGAAAAGATACGAGGAAATTGTTAAAGAAGTCAGCACCTACATTAAGAAAATCGGCTACAACCCTGACACAGTAGCGTTTGTGCCAATTTCTGGTTGGAATGGTGACAACATGCTGGAGCCAAGTGCTAATGTGAGTTTTAAGACCATTGATAAAAGCACTGGAAAGAAGCGGGCCAGGTATGGGGGCAGGTAACAGTAATTGATGATCTTGTGTTCTTCAGATGCCTTGGTTCAAGGGATGGAAGGTCACCCGTAAAGATGGCAATGCCAGTGGAACCACACTCCTTGAAGCTCTGGATTGCATCCTGCCACCAACTCGTCCAACTGACAAGCCCCTGCGTCTGCCCCTCCAGGATGTCTACAAAATTGGTGGTAAGTTGAACATTAATATCAGAATGTGACATGTATGGGAGGCTACAATTTCTTCACAAGCGTTTATGACTATGCCCTAAACATTTTAGGTATTGGGACTGTTCCTGTGGGCCGAGTGGAGACTGGTGTTCTCAAGCCCGGCATGGTGGTCACCTTTGGTCCAGTCAATGTTACAACTGAAGTAAAGTCTGTTGAAATGCACCATGGAGCTTTGAGTGAAGCTCTTCCTGGGGACAATGTGGGCTTCAACGTCAAGAACGTGTCTGTCAAAGATGTTCGCCGTGGCAATGTGGCTGGTGACAGCAAAAATGATCCACCAATGGAAGCAGCTGGCTTCACAGCTCAGGTAACACTAAATGTCATGTTCTTCCTCCCAGACCCTTAAATGTCTTTTGAGACTCGGGAAATAAATTCAAATCCTTTTTCCCAGGTGATTATCCTGAATCACCCAGGCCAGATCAGTGCTGGATATGCACCTGTGCTGGATTGTCACACAGCTCACATTGCTTGCAAATTTGCTGAGCTGAAGGAGAAGATTGATCGTCGTTCTGGGAAAAAGCTGGAAGATGGCCCCAAGTTTTTGAAATCTGGTGATGCTGCCATCGTTGATATGATTCCTGGCAAGCCCATGTGTGTTGAGAGCTTCTCTGACTACCCTCCTCTGGGTAAGATTGAGCATTTACAGTAATGATAACGTTTTACTTGATGAAAACTTTGTTTTGTGTACTGTGTCTAATGATAATATGAAATTTGTTTTAATAGGCCGTTTCGCTGTTCGTGACATGAGACAGACCGTTGCTGTGGGTGTCATCAAAGCAGTGGACAAGAAGGCAGCTGGAGCTGGCAAAGTCACCAAGTCTGCCCAGAAAGCTCAGAAGGCTAAATGAATATTATTTCCAACACCTGCCACCCCAGTCTTAATCAGTGGTGGAAGAACGGTCTCAGAACTGTTTGTCTCAATTGGCCATTTAAGTTTAATAGTAAAAGACTGGTTAATGATTACAATGCATCGTAAAACCTTCAGAAGGAAAGGAGAATGTTTTGTGGACCATTTGGTTCTTTTGTGTGTGTGGCAGTTTTTAAGTTATTAGTTTTTAAAATCAGTACTTTTTAATGGAAACAACATGACCAAAAATCTGTCACAGAATTTTGAGACCCATTAAAATAACAAAGTTTAATGAGAAACCTGTGTGTTCTTTTGGTCAACACTGTACCTTTCTGTTATACTACTTAGGTAAAGGACTTCAAAGTTGCCCAAGACCTCTTTCCAATATATCTGCTGATATTTACAATTGGATGGTTCTGTTAACATTTTTTTTCTGGGTGGGAACTTTGGGGGTTTTTTGTGGGATTTTTTTTTTCCCCCACTGAATTGCCTGTCTCATGGTAAAAGCTATGGGAAAGGGGGGCTGTTGGTGTAACACTAAATAGGTTAGAACAGGTAAGCAAAGAGTAACTTTGTGTTTGTAAGCTAGTTTCGAAAGGCCAAATTCTGTTAAAGCCACGTGTTAACATAAAATTTTGTAGTTACATCAATATTGAGTAAATTTGTTGGTCTGTCAAATTTTAGTTTTCCAGTTTTACTGGAATGTGAGTTCACATTTACAAATGCTGAGGTAGCTTAAGAACCTTAAGTAAGGTTTGAATAGTATTGAGCACTGTCTTGCTGCAGTTATTGTATCCAAATTCTAGGAAAAAATAAATTGATGCTGGAAGTTAAGTGTGTTTTGTCACTTAAATGCTTCAAAGTCCACTTCCAATAGGAATTTTCATCTAAAGTTGGAGAAATACTGCCACATTGGAGATTAGGCAGTTTAAGGAGGTACAGTTGCAGATTGCTCTGATTTGAAATTTTGCTCAGTGCCACTTTAAAAGTAACCTCACTGAAAATTAGGTTCTAAAATGTGACAGTTGGGTAGGATGTAAGAAAGCACTTTTAAACTAGCTGGGGTAGTTGCATGCAGTGATGGTTTATGGTTAAGTTGGTTTGCTTGAGTGGTAGCCATCTAGTTTTTGATAGTTGGTAAATCAAAACACAGAAAAGGAATTCCAAGAGTCTGAACATTTTAATTTGTGTAATAGTATCCAGCTCAAAGTGGCAAAATCAGCTTGTATGTTAATTGTATCCTGTTAGGTAATGACTTTCAAATGGATAGCAATTTGTGAAGTTTTTTTTGCCTTTGTTGAAATTACATGTCCCCCTTTCCTCCCATTGATCTCCACCCAAGATTGAAGCCTTGCCCCAGCTGGTTTGTCTTGGTGAACAGGGTGTTGGCCTACAGACAGGTTGCGGGTTTGATTCTGGTCAAGGGCACATGCCAGGTTACTGGCTTAATCCCCAGTAGGGGGTGGGCAGGAGGCAATTGAATGACTCATTGATGTTTCTCTCTGAAATCAAAATACATTTCTTAGGTAGGCCTTGACAGTACGAGCTGAAACATTTGAGGGGTGTGAAAAGGCTAAAATTTCTCTAGTTCCATGAGGGAAATAGCCCCCTTAAGTTTTTTGTAATTTGCTTATTTGTACAGGTGAGGAAAAATTGACCAACTCAAGCGGTAGCTGATACACAAATTTGTCACAGCTGTACGATTTACTAGAATAAGATTGTTCCAGCCGCCCCGCCCCCACAATAGTGGTGGTTAACTGCAGAGAACACTATTAGAAAG